ATTGATGTTCGTACTGTGTTCTTGACTAGAAATTGTTTGGTAATCATCCTACTTGGATTTTATGAATAATGTTTGGGGCCTTGTGCCTATCATGTGTATCCTTCAGGGATCCTTATCACTGCTTCCATGATGCTTAGCATATTTCATGATATCAGTCCTGAGTTAGACACTGCCTCGAAATGATTAGTAAATAAATAAAGGTTTATACATTTAGCTCTATAATTTCCTAATAATTGAAACAAAAAAATGAACAATTTGACTGTGCCCGAGTGGCTTGCATGCATATATATATCTGCACTGAGTGTGGATCGGGCTGCACGCCGCAACGAATGTTACAATGATATTGCGCTTGGGCTGTAGGAGCTTCTCCAGAGTCTGAACCCCCACAGTGAGCGCGGGTACCCAAATGGATCAGGCTGCGCGCCGCAGCGGTCATGTGCATTGCATTGCATTCATGCATTTATACTTATTTGCCTTACTTGTCCTGGTATTGTTGTTGTTCCACCGTTTTATGTGCTGAATCGCTGATTATAGCTTTACATTGTAATATTTCGGAATTTCTTACTTTCAGCCATTATATATGTTTATTACTCACTGAGTTGGAAGTACTCACTTTACTCCCTGCACCATGTGTGCAGATTCAGGTGCTCCGGAGACTTAGTGGAGCTGTTTGCTGTTTTCGTGAAGTTTATTTTCAGGAGTTATTGAGGTAGCTGTCTGACGTCCGCAGGACCCGACTCCTCCCCTTTATTTCATTCATCTTTCCATATCTTAGACTTCTTTATTACTATGGATATATATTACTCTGTTACATCTAGAGGCTCTAGACTCGTGACTCCAGATCTATTGGGGAAATGTTTGGATATCTGTTATTATATTCCGCACCATTTTATTTAGATTCGGATTGGAACCTTGATATTTGCCACTTTAATCGTATTATTTGTTAACGGATTGCGTATTTGGGTTGAGAGTGTTTAATTGGTCGGGCTTGCCTAGCATTAGTGTTGGGCGCCATCACGACCGGGATTGGGGTCGTGACAAAAAATTAGCACTTGCTCTAATCATGGCATCTAGGAAGTTAAGACCTTACTTTCAATGTCATCCCATTGTCGTAGTGACTGCATATCCCCTACGTAATATATTGCATAAACATGAATTGTCGGGAAGGTTAGTTAAATGGGCCATAGAGTTACGTAAATATGAAATCACATACTTACCTAGAACAACAATAAAATCACAGATATTAGCTGATTTCGTCGTTGACTTTAGCCAAGGGATGCAATTAGAAGCAGAAAAAGAAGTACAAGTACTTAATGGGGCTAATCCTGGAACATGGACCTTATTTACTGATGGCTCATCTAACGTAAAAGGTGCAGGATTAGGAATTATTTTAGTACCACCTACGGGTGAAACTATTAGGCAAGCCATTAAAAGTCATTCCGTAACTAACAATGAAGCGGAGTATGAAGCTGTGATTGCAGGTTTGGAATTGGCACGAGAACTTGGTATAAATCAAGTAGTGATCAAAAGTGACTCACAGCTCGTGGTTAATCAAATGCTGGGGAGTTACACAGCTAGGGAAGCAAGGATGCAACAGTACTTGGAAAAGGTACGTGAACTGATAAAGCAATTCCAAACTTGGAAGGTCATACAGATATCGAGGGATGAAAATGTTGAAGCAGATGCCTTAGCTAATCTCGCATCCGCAGCTGATAGAGCAAAAGATGCAAATGCTGCAATTATACATTTATTTCATTCAGTTCTCGATCCAGATAAGAATGAGATAAATTTTAATAATTTAATTTGGGATTGGAGAAACGAAATTGTTGCATTTTTACAGTATGGAACCGTCCCTAG